TATTAATCATATTTCAGATAAGAGGTAATTTACTAGGTTTAGCTACTGATGTTTTCAAGAATGTATATTTTCTTGTCTGTTGCTTTAGACCTTTTCAGTGATATTGATAAGTGTTCTGGCCAGGGTATGATGAGTTATGACATCTCCATGTCAACTCTGAATGAGGTCTTCATGAACCTGGAACGAAAACCAATGATGAGACAAGGTCAGATCATTTGCATATTTCACAGAAATCAATTTCCAAATGATCATGTGTCAATTTAATGTTTATACCATCTTTTGCATAATTCATACTAAGGAATAGGAGTTTATCCACATTTGGCTCTGCTGTTGAGATGGGATGCTTGTTAACCCACATCATCAGTAGGACTCAATACAGAGCCCTTCTTGGCTTTTACCAAATCCCTTTTAGAAACCACCAACTTCCTGTTTGGGTAGTTTTCCCCCTCCCTATGTGCTCACTACTGCTTCAATGCTTTGAGGTTGTGAAAGATCTTAATTAGAGGAGTGAGGTCAAAAAAGATATTTCTGATAAAAAATGTTCTCAGTTTGTTAATTCAAATTTAATCTCAGTAAATTCYTAATAGGAAGAATTCTCAGTTTCAACTCCTGAATATTTAATTGACAATAAGAGCTTTCATTCTGGGTGCTCCTCCTATGCCAGATAGCTCAATAAAAGTGTAAATATACATTCATATATACTTACAGTATTACTTCCCACCAAGTGTCATTGACACCATCTTACAGATGGGAAAATAGAACTAAGAACAGTTAAATGACCTTCTCCATTTCATGCCACTTGTAAATCATGGGTAAGGGGTTTATATAAAGGTTCGGTTGTTTCAGAGCTGATGCATTTCCCCCTGAAATCCTAGATTATTGATAATTTTCTAGTAAATATTGAGGCTTTAGTGATCGCTCTTACTATCAAAAAGCTTTTTTTTAAAGTTCTCAAATATTGTTACCTTTGGATTGAATTTTCAAAAAACTATACATAGCAAAATCACCCCTTTCCTGAATTCTTCTTTTCGTATGTAGTTACTATGTTTTCCTACTGAGGTTATAGAATTTGGATAATTATTGTATGTTTCTCATATTGTTTGCATTGTACCCACAAACTTTCCAAAATATTTTTATTTAAAAGTTTTAATATGCATGACCATTGGTAATTATACCTGCAGAAAGAAAATATTGAAGAGTGGGGATACATAAACTTAATATATAATAAGTTTATGTTTAAACTTGTATAAATATTGTATTGAATAATTCTTATGAATAAGGCTATAACAATAAAACCAAATGTAAAATAATATTAAAAATTTTTAAGAAGAAAATTACTATGATGCCCTAGGATGGCATTAATAATAATGATGATGATGATGATGTGTGTGTGTGTGTGTGTGTGTGCGTGCACGCACATGTGCCTATAGATTTTGAACGAACAGACAAGATAAGAGACTCAGAAAGCCCAAGTGAAATGGATCCAGCTTGCTTTTCTCTCCCTGAAATACACAAGACTGTGAGCGACATGGGCCTCTGGAGAATGCAAGTCTGTGYGATAGCACGGCTCCGTTTTTTAAAGCTGAAACGTGGAAGAAAAACACTTTTGACCCTGTGAGTATCAGAGTGTTGTGATTTTGTTAAACGAGGAGTTTCAAAAAAGGCTCAAACCAGAGGAGAATTTAAAACTAGAACACAATGCCCAGCATTTCTGCTGGAGAAAAGGTAAATGTCGAATTGGATTTTACTGACCGTGGGAATACCTGTAGATTAGCTCTTGATTAGGATCATACATACAAGTGCATTTAGTTTTCATAGTTGGATGACCTATGTTCATGTAGCATTTATTTTTTTAGTCCTGGGTATCATGATGAGACATAGCTCAGAATGTTTGTACCTGGAGGAATTGTCTTTGGAGATATGGCACACAACAAGTGGTTGTGGAATGTTTTACTGAGGAAATAAAATTACTGTATATTCATATGGTGATTTTCTTTATTGTTTAGGCTATTGGTTTTTGGAATTGCACTGTTTCCTTTGATTATGGAAAAGATAGCTTATTCTATGATAGATCAAAATGCAGACTGGGAGTTTAAAACGGAATTATATTTCCTCTCTTCTGGACAACTTCCTCAGGAACCTCGTACCAGCCTCTTGATCATCAATAACACAGGTGAACAAGAAAACAAAATTTACATCCAGAAAGAAGTTATTTCTGTTGTCAAATAACACATGTGTTAGAGGAAACAAATCC